CCAATTAATGTAAAATGTTTAAAAAAATTGAAAAAAAAGATTCCCTACCAAAACCAGGCAAATACATTACCCAAAAAAGAAAACTACAGACCGTTATCTCTCATAAACACAGATGCAAAAGTCCTTAACAAAAGCCTGGCCAAGGGGGAAGGATCACTGGCAAGATGCTGAGGCGAGGCTTACATCCCCAGCGCCCACCCGGTCGGCCCGGCCCAGCCATGATCAAGGCGATCCTCATTTTCAACAACCACGGGAAGCCGCAGCTCTCCAAGTTCTACCAGCCTTACAGTGAAGATACACAACAACAAATCCATCAGGGAAACATTCCATTTGGTATCGAAAAGAGATGAAAATGTTTGTAATTTCCTAGAAGGAGGATTGTTAACAGGAGGATCTGACAACAAACTGATTTATGGACATTATGCAACATTATATTTTGTCTTCTGTGTGGATTCTTCAGAAAGTGAACTTGGCATTTTAGATCTAATTCAAGTATTTGTGGAAATGTTAGACAAGTTCTGAAAATGTCTGTGAACTAGATTTAATTTTCCATGTAGACATCACAATATTCTTGCAGAAATGGTGATGGGGGGAATGGTATTAGAGACCAATATGAATGAGATCGTTACACAAACTGATGCATAAAATAAACTGGAGAAATCCGAGGCTGGCTTAGCAGGAGCTCCAGCCCATGCTGTATCAGCTGTAAAGAATATGAATCTTCCTGAGATCCCAAGAAATATTAACATTGGTGACATCAGTATAAAAGTGCCAAGCCTGCCCTCTTTTAAATAAAAAATGTAAAAGGCTACTCCCAGGTAAAATCCAGGGGGGGGAAATCATCCAAGTTTACCAGGCAGTTGTTTACCAAAAATAGAGGAGGAGAGTTTTAACTTTTGCTCTTGGACTTAAGTCAAGGTACTGTATAGAAATTGTGTAAAATCAGTATGTGAAGATCAATGTTGCTTTTCTTGCTCAGTGATTTTAAAGAAACTGAATAGTTTCCATGTGATTTTTTTTTCTTCTTTTCTAAACTGCATTCCTATGCCCACCTAAGGCATGCCTCTTTTTTTTTTTTTATGGGTGTACCGTCAAATTGGATCTGACTGGTACAGGAGGCGACTGTTCCTCCTACTTCAGCAGAGCATCTGGTGGATTCGAACCGTGCACTTCTGGGATTGCAGTACAGTTTCCTGCCACTAAGCCACCAGAGCTCCCCAGGCATGCCTCTTATATACTGGCTACTACAGTATTTTGAAAGTGTTTGAGATATTTCTTTAATTATGTACAACTCCAAATGTTGATGTTTTGTATGGATCACAAGTATAGCATTCCTTAATTCTTTCTGCTATTTGTCATAACTGTTATTTTAAAATCCAAGTATGTATTGCATGAAAACATTCTGACCTTTTTCTCTTAGTTTAAATAAACTCCAAGGTAACTGGACTTATGAAGCACTTATCTGTTTGCCTGGTATCTACTTTAGCAATAATTTTTTTTTATGTCCTTCTGACTCAACAAAATAAATAAAAGTATATTTTATCACTTTAAAAAAAAGCCTAGCCAATAGAATCCAACAGTGTATTAAAAAAAACAATTCATCATATCGAAATAGAATTCATAAAAGGTATGCAAGGATGGTTCAACATAAGAAACAATCAACATAATTTACCACATTAACAGAGTAAAGAACAAGAACCCCATGATCCTATAAATTAATACAGAAAAAGGCCTTGGAAAAAATCCAACCCTCTTGCCTGATTAAAACACTCAACAGGAAGAGAAGGGAACTTCCTCAACATAGTTAAAAGTGTATGCACAAAATCAAGAGTCAACATCATTCTAAATGGATAAACAGTCAACTAAAGGCTTTCTCCTCGCAAATAAGGACCAGGCAAGGATTCCCACTATCATTCCTATTCCTAATTGTATTGGAAATACTTGCTAAGGCTATAAGACTAGAAGAAATAGGCATCCAAATTGGCAAAGAGATGTTAAAACTGTCACTATACACAGATGATATGATAGTGTACACAAAATTCTGTAAAGACTCAACAACAACCCACCCAGTTAGGTCTAGTAGACCAATTTAGTAGAGTGGCAGGATATGAGATCAATATACAAGAATCAGTGAAATTTCTCTACAGCAACAAAGAAAGCACAGAAAAGGAAACCAAGAAAGCAATATCATTTATAATAGCCAATCACAGGATGAAATACTTGGGACTAATGGATCTCTGGTGGCTCAATGGTAGAAAGTTGCACTATCAATTCAAACGTATACAGTTTGAATCCAACAGCTGCTCTGAAGATGGGCAATCTGCTCCCATATGATTTACTGCCCCTGAAAACCCACAAGAGGGTCAGCTATGGGTCAGTTCTGACTTGATGGTACTCAACAACAGACACACGAGACCTTTATAAGGAAAGCTTCACAATACTATTACTACCTATCAGACATCTAAAAAATTGGAAAAATATTCCCAGTTTATGGATACGAAGACTCAACATTGTGAAAATTATAATCCTACAAAAAGCAATCTACATGTTCAAAGCAATTCCAATACAGATAAGTAACTCATTCTTCAGACAGAAAAGGCAATTAGCAGTTTTATTTGGAAAGGAAAGAGACCTCAAATAAGCAAAAGAATAATCTAGCAACATGCCTGAAGTTATTTGAGATGAAACTTCATCATCTTTGCCTCCAAGAAACACTCTGGCTGCACTTACTACAAGACTGCTTAAGAGCATTATTTAAAAAAAGAATAACTGAGCAAGATGTGTATAAATGGGGAAAGGCAGAAGGGGGCAGAAAAAGGGGAAGGAAGAAAATCTCTAATAAAGCAGAAGTTAGTGGATATATGAGAGTAAAGGAATAGGAAAGATACAATGAAACCTGAAAAGACTGGGTGAAAACAGGATGGTGCAGGACTGGACAGCATTTCTTTATACTGAGCGTGGGACTGCCAAGAATCAGGGGCTGGCTCAACAGCGGCTAACAGCAAGTAAGGGACATGAAGATTTCGTGACTGGTCAGTAAGAGTCATGGATTCAAGGGGTACAGGAATGCAAATACTAAAGGAAAAAGGATAATAATGATGAGAACTCAGAAGATGTGTGATTAAACTGAGAGATAGACTGGAGGTTTGATTTATATTTAATCAGTAAACTAACATGAAGGACAGAAGGCGATGCTATCAAGCCGAAGGTGGATGACTTTTTTAATCTGTGGCCCTCGGGCCTGTCTTTCATTGTTTTTGTTCAGACATTCCTCTAGGTCATATAGCCCTGGTGTACAAGTTGCCGTACCACAGTCACTTTGTGGTTGCTGTGAGGCTGAACACTGTGACACTGATGTGTGTCAAAAGTGTTAATGGCTGGTTACCCAATGCGGACAGAGAGTGGGGTGGAGCTCCCCGATTAAAACAAGCTTGGAAGGAAGATTGGCATCTACTTCTGTAATAACTTGCCTCCGGAAACCCTATGTGCCTGGAGAGAGGATGAGAGACACCTGCAACTCGACGGCACTTAACAACAAACTAGCATGAGTTGTCCAGAATCTAGATGATTCCCAGAAAAGAATAAAACCTGGATTGAGAATCATAGATAAAACAAGAAAGTCAGGGGGTTCTGAGTAAAAGGACCCAAATAAAATATCACAAATGTTTATTATACAGAGGGCCATCTAAGATACAACTACCCTGCAACAATTAATGGAAATCTAAGTTCTCTATAATCTTTCAGTAAAATATAAATTTAAAAAAGATACAACTAGGGAAAAAAAAAGATACA